CACCGTTCGCTCGAATGATGATGAATTTTGAGCGGCAGATGAACCAGCGCTGGAGCCCATCACGGCACATGCTGGAGGAAGGAGGGCAAGGGTTTTGCAGATTCTCCGACTCACGCCCGCTGCTGCTGAGCGTGCGTGGCTACTGTTGAGAGGGTTTCTCATGTGGCGTCGGGCGTGCGAGTGAGCGGTCTCGCGCGCATGCATCTATATCTTGAGTGTCCTGTCTCTCTCGCTAGTGGCACCACACACTGTCCTGCGGGGGTGCTCATGACAGCAGCAATGACAGCAGCAATGACAGCAGCAATGACAGCAGCAATGACAGCAGCAATGACAGCACAGCAGCAGCAACGACAGCGATGACAGCAGCAATGACAGCAGGAATGACAGCTGCGCAATTACAGCAGCAGTGACAGTTGGACCGTCGGGGATGGTTACGACAGCAGCAACGACAGCAGCAACGACAGCAGCAACGACAGCTGGTGACAGCTGGTGACAGCTGGTGACAGCTGGTGACAGCTGGTGACAGGTAGGTGTCACTGTCGCTGTCGTTTGCTGTATGACAGCTGGCAGCTGTCATGACAGCGGCTAACCGTCATGACAGCGGCTAACCGTCATGACGTGAACTCTCCATAGTCTCTATATATACTTGGAGCACTTGGAGTGCAGTTGGCAGCCTCACATCCAGGGCCGGGGAGCTCAGAAGCGCACCCAGCGGGCCGGATGATCGGGATCGGGTTGCGGGCAAGAAAGCCCTAGCCCCGGGGGTGCGCGTTCGCAGGGCAAGGCCTCGAGGGCTAAGAAACTCGAGGGCTAAGAAACTCGAGGGCTAAGAAATGGAGCACGCGGCCCCTCCCGGTGACCAACGGCAGGCTCACCTGGCTCTGCTGCAGCGACAGCACCACGTCCAGATGCTGCAGCTGCAGCTGCAGCAGCAAAAGACGATGCTTGCCGCGCACAACGCCGGTTCTTCACCTCCAGACATCGAGGCGTTGCGCCTCGCCCACGCGCAGCAGGGTGCGCAGATGGCGTACGCGCTGCAGACTCAGATGGCACAGGCGTGTGCAGCGCTCGGGCTGCCGCCGCCATCTCCGACAGCCGCGGCGCAGCCCGTCCTGGCACCCCCACCTCCGCACCCAGCACAGCAAGCGGAGGAGCAGCGGAGGGCAGCGCGGCAAAAGCAGGAGGAAGAGGCGCGCGCGGCGGCGGAGGCGGAGGCGGCGGCCAAGGCGGCGGCGAGGGCTGAGGCGAGGCAGCGCGATCGTGAGGAGGCGGCGGTGGAGAAGGCGGCTGCCGAGAAGGTGGCGCGTGCGTATTCCGACCGCCACTCCGACCGCCACGCACCCCACAGCCGCGACGCTTCCAGCGCCCATCATTCCGTCCGCCGCTCCTCTTCCACCACGGACCCCCCCCCCCCTCCCCCCCCTCCCCCCCTTCCCCCTCCCCGTCTCATCCTGGCTC